TTTTTCTCCTTTTCCTTTTCACCATATTCCCACGTATGTAAACAATTAAAAAACCAAAACAAAACAAAACAAAACAAAAACAACCCCCAAACCAATACAAAAGCGGGAAATGCATGTGTGGCCATGCCTCACAAAATAGGTCGGATAATTGAAGGGAGTCCCGCAGACCGCTGTGGCAAGCTGAAAGTAGGCGATCGGATCTTGGCTGTGAATGGGTGCTCCATCACCAACAAGTCGCATTCAGACATCGTCAACCTCATTAAGGAAGCGGGAAACACCGTTACCCTGCGCATCATTCCAGGAGATGGTAAAGTATATGTTTCCTGCTGTCTTATCTGACCCTCTCGCTGGTTTTGTTCCGGGCTTTTTGCATCAGTCAGAGCTGCAAAGTCATGGAGGACTCAATTTCCACTCCCACTTTGGGAATTAGCAGTGAGGGAGGTTGTGAGTCTTCCATAGCTTTATTTTTTGTTTCTTTCTATAGAAATGGGAGTTCTTTTTTTAAACAGGGAGGTGCTGATTCTACATTAAAAAAATAATATTCCATTCTATCATGTTCCTCCACATATCTCCGTAAAATGATCTTCTGTAAATTTGATGCATATCTCACTGCATTTTGATTTGATTCTTAGGTTAATAATGCAGCTTTAGAATATTTGGGAATCACTTGTTAATATGTGGGATTCCTGAAGCTTTGTATATACACAAGCAGGCTATAGACTAAAGGGATCACAGAAAGAGATAAACACTTTGTCGTGTTTTGAGCTGATTGAAAAGAAGATTTGTTTTTATTCTGCGTAAGTTGCTTTGGGAGCGAGCTCAGTACCTTTTGAAATGACTTTGTTAAATGGCGATGGCTCTGGAGCTGCTGTGTGCTTGCAGCTGATCATTGTAAGAGTTACCCTAGACAGAATCTCGCTGTTCCAGATCAGAGGGAACGTGCAGGATCCCTAATAATACGCTGACACTTGGTACTGGTTTCAGGTCATTGAACTATTTAATAAAAATAGGGATCTGTGTTATATATCAGTTTCATTAAGCTGATCCCTAGCATCCTGCCAAATAGGAACAGAGCAGAAACGTATGTAAAGTATCTGTAGCAGAACTAAAATTTCTGTGGTTCTAAATTCTAAGTATTTTGTTTGTTCATTGTCCTGCTCTGCCATGGACGGGTTCATAGTGAGAACTTGTTAGCCAGAAATCTTCCTACACTGCTTTCTTTTTAAGCTGAATCCACGGGTACAAGATTTGATGGCTCAGATACGGTGCTAATGAGCATTTCTTAGAGTTGTACAGGACATTATTTGCATTCAGTTAAATATAGAGAAAGTGTGATTAAGTTTGAGAGAAAGGTTGAGAAAGTCTGGCTGAATTGAACCTGGTACCTGTAAAGCAGAATGAAGAAGTTACATGGTGTGATTTCCAGTGAGAAGCATTCGGTCGTTGCTAACTCTCGTACTTTCTAATCTGAAGCATGGATTTCGTTATCCCACAGAGCATGATTATGCTATGTTTAGTTACAGGATATAAATAGGCCAGGATGAGAAATGATCTGGTTATAAATTATTTCTGTTTAGGATGATTTGTTTTGCATAAAGGCTTTATTTTCCTACTGTTTAGTAGCTACCAGGTCAAATGGTATATGATCCTTTGCTGCTTCCAGGAAATTGAGTGTTCGTGAATAATAAAATGGCTGTGAATCAGGCTAACATCTGAGCTGGCCTGTGCATGCCAGTTTTGGAAGGTAAACTGGGAGAAGAATTGTTCATTACCTGTATTTTGGTATCTGATCAAAATCAAGGAAGGTGAATCCTTGAATAAATAAATAAATATTTTTTGAAAAGGCAAAAATACCTAAGAAATAAATAACTTTTGAATGGTTTAAGATTTTTTTAAGACGAATATAGCTTCCTGACATGAATGCTCAGCCAGTCTTGTTCATGCAAATATGTGTACAAAATACCATGTTAAATTGCTTAGGTTAGAAGGGAAATCTGTACCTGTGACTGACATCAGGTATTCCTGGAGAAGGTGGAAAGCTGTAATTTAGGGAAGGAGTCAACTCTTTTCTCTCATAGCAATGCAGGCTTCGAGTCTTTTTATTTACTGTCCCTTTGAAATTCCAAGTCAGGTTGCCAGCTCTGCATAGAATTACCTGGAATTTAATTTCCAAAAGCCAGTAAGACCAGACACTCTCGAAATTGCTGAGAGGTTTGCTCTAAAAAAATGCAATTTAAGAAATTGGTCTCAATGTTGTTTTCTTTTTGCTGTCTTTGGGTACTTTTGTTGATTTGTTGTTTTTGGTGCTTTTGGGGTGCTTTTTTGGTAAATATAAATGGTCTAACGGTGCACTTAAAAGGGGGAAAACAGAATAAATCAGAAGCCATGCTTCTCAGATAAACATGAAACTAAGGCTCATCACAAGACTCACAATAAACTCACACTGCTAATCTCTTCTAACATTATTAAAACCACCAAGGGTTTTTGCTGTGTAATAAGTCTTGCACCATCTCATTGCCACAGACCACTGCAGGAGTGCATTTGCAATGAAATTACGATGCTTTAACATACTACCAGCTGATGCAAGGACACAGAGAGCTGAAAAATTACAAGCTTAGATTAGGCATTTAATTGGTGTCTCAGTGTTCTAGGGCAGAACAGGGCAAGGAATCAATGAAATATTTAGGATTTAGAACATATAATTGTAATTCTACTAGAGAGAATTTTTCCTGTAATTGTGTTCTGTTCCCGTTTTGCATGGTGGCTGGCATGCGTCCTGAACCAGTGTCTAAAAAACTAGCAAAATTATGCACAACTTCTGACTCATGGGATTGGGTGGGCTAAAGATAGATACAGTACAGTGGCGTGAAGATTCATCTGTACCAAGATGTGTTGTTGCTCTACTTGGTATTCTTAGTGTGACCTACTAAAGGGTAGGAACCTTGCATTCTCTTTGAAGCCCATCTTCATCTGATCTCCAAGTATTTGTGGAGGTTTTCAGAGGCTTTTGTTCTGGATGAATACAGAACACAACCATGTTTTGGGGCCTTCTTACGTCAGAGACAAATTTTAGCATCAAGGCATCATTACAAAATACACAGAATTATTTCTTAAATTCCAACAGTGTAACCACACATAGGGATGTCTCCTTCTCACACAAGCCAGCTGTCAGCGGCACATCCTCACAAGGGCATGTTTTGGTCGTGCCTACCCTGAGAGGTGCAGGTAGACCCAGGAGCTTCTCTTGCTTTCTGAGCCACCGGACGCAAGCCAGCTCTGGTCTGGAAGATGTTATAGCTCCATATGCTGAGGGTTTGGGCATGTTAACTTGGGCACAGTGCTACAGGCAAAGGAGCGGTGCTCTCATTGCACCCATCTGTTTAAATGG